CATCCACCTAACTCTTGGATCAAAGGCATCATTACGGTTTCTCTCTCAGCTCTCAATTTTTTAGCTCAGTGAAATATCGCCACGGCCTGACGATTTTATAGTTTGTCTTGAAAACAGTAACTCACTCGATGAGCTGGAGGCGATTTTCAAGTCTGTTCAGGAAGAGAAAGTAGTTCTGCGTGGAAAAGACTCTGGAGGTGATCAAGGTGAGTACTAGCTTTTTTTATAGCGAACTTCGCTACACGCAGTTATGAAGTTGATTGCTTAATTTGGCTGAGCAGCTAAACTTGTAATTGAACTTCATATATACAACTCATTGTTGGTAGAAGATCATTTCAGGTGTTTTTGTGAAGCAGCAGCTCAGCAGTTTGGACTTTGTGGAAAGTCTCATCAAAAAAAGACTAATTCTTCTTGCTAACAGCACTGTCGACAACGGCGGATTAGACGTGGTAAGTTAGGATGTCTCTTCTTGCGTCGGCGACCATTTTTTACTTTTAAGGCACGTTTTGCTGCCCTATTTTTATTTTGAACTTTTTCAGTTCCATTTTTCTTTTTGGACTTGGTCATCTTTTCTGTTTCTAAAGGATAATGCGTTTTCTTTTATTGCTTTTCTAAACAGAAGTGTAATAGAATTCTTTGTGGAAATATTTCCACCTTTTGAGGGACTTGTTGGAAAAACCTTGATCATTTAACTAAGTCAAAGTACAGTTTTCACTTTCTCATTTCGAATGTGAGGGTTTTGTTCACATCCACTCGCAGTATACAACTACTTTGATTTTGGTTAGCCTCCGACGATGTTGTGCGTGTCTTTGAACCACTCAATTAGTCAGCTTGTGATTGAGTGGAGAAAGGACAGCCAAGAACTCGTCAGTTCTTGCTTTATAATTCTTACCTAGGATTTTTTAAAATTATACTTGCTTTTTCTTTGGTGCGCATTCTGGCTGCAGATTTGGAGATTAGGTGTGTTCATGCTATGTGTAAAAGATTAGAGTGCAAGCTGTAATACAGTCGAATTTAGAGGTGAAAGGTGAGGTAGCAAGTAAAGACTTTGATATTACATATTCGCTGGAATAGTTTACGCAACCACAGTTCAGGAGAATTTTTTCTCTATTTTCTAAATTCTTGAAAAAAGTGATGTCGGTGCTCCTTCGATTCGTTTATTGTTTCCCTACGTTTTCTGCTGTTGAAAAAGCAGTTGTTGATGTGCACACCTTGTATGGTATTCGCAGGCTCGCGCACTGTCCATATCTGACGATGGCTTAGTCCAGCTTCCACTTCATGTTGTTCTTACAAACGGAGTCGCTGTGTCATATTTCATCGACTACCTACAGACTGTCGGAGGACAAAATTACATAGATTTCTACTTAGCGATTGAGGTGAAGTGAAAAAGCTAATTAGAATCTTTCTTCGTAAGTAAACTGAGTCTTATTTAGGGTTTTAAAGTGTCAGTTGAACATCAGCTCAGAACTCTTTCAAGTGGTGAGACAGTCTGTGCGGAAGTTTACGAAACAATTAAGGAAGCCGCTCAATTCATGTACCAGCAGTATCTTTCGCAAGAGGTTCCTATCTTCAAATCTTGTTTTCTAATTGAGATGTTTTCATAGTGAATTAAGGCGATCACTCGCGTACCGTTGGATGATGGGATTATAGCAAAATTTCTTTCTCGAGTAAGGAATGACGAATCGTGCGATTTTTGGTTTGAACAAATCCAGGAAAAGGTCTCAAATCCGCTTCATTTCCATCGTTTACTTTACTTGTCTTACTTC